GGCAATCTGTAAAGAATAAAGAGAACATTGATTAGCATTACTGGTGTTTTTAAGAGCATATTTGTTCGAGTAGTCTGGCTTTCTGTGTGTGTTGTCTGTAATAGATTCAAGGAATAATATGTAATGAAGCAGATACTGCAAGTAAAATCAAGTACAATCAAGAAATAATATTAGGTTGAAACAGCAGAAATGTGTTTGTAACTCAAGAAAATAGGCATTGTTTCACCCTCTTTCACCATTTTAGGCTTTATCTGTTCTGTTACAGAACACGAATACTGCTCTAGTTTATTTGGTGCTCTTTAAATCCAAGTTGTGATAATGAAAGTGAAAATGCAGTTAACTATTCTTCTGCAAACCATTTGTGACATCCAAGCTACATTGAGATTTATATTGCTGTATTGAATATTTACAGCAATAAAAGAATGGATGTGTTTCTTCTCAGATTATGAAAATGTTATCATTTTACTTATCACATGAATAATTGTACACTGAATTAAATTACCTCTTTAGAAAGATCAACAATTAATTGAGTGATGGCTAAGCTATGTCCTTATTGTCTTTGTAAGGAATGCTCTCAGTATTATGGATTACTGAAAAGTAGCAACATAAAGGAAAAAAGGTCCAAGTTGATCTTAAGCACAGCAGTAAAACATTCAAAATCTCACTTTGACTACACTGAAAACAGCTGATCTATTTGCATTATTGTTATTAATTATTATTATGATTATTAATAATATATACTTTGCAGTCAGAATGTTTCTGCAGCCTATAAACAACTTATTCCTTCTCATTAACATGCTTCCATGCTACTATAAGAAATACTGCAAAATTTTCATCTGAAGTCAGGTACATTATGTAAATCTGTCTGAATGTGTTCTTATAAAGCTAGAATGCAGAATCCTGCAAATAACAGCATAAATATTGCTTGCCATGTTTCAGACATTCTTCTTTAGCCACACATGTGCCAGGATATATATTCTTTTTTGACCTGAACAATTCTCTTGCTCACATTTGTGTGTTGGTTTGTGTGACAGTGTTTTGGTCTGTTTTTTTCTTTTTCTTTTTTGTAGTATTTTTTTCTTTCCCTGTGAGATTTTGTTTCAATTAATGTTCTGGAAAGAAGGTATTCAGTTAAGAAAAGAAAAAAAGGGGATCTAAAAATAGTTTATAAGATGACTGGTTCTAGTAGCTTAAATCTGCTGTGATTAAAGATAAAAAATCCCTGCATCTTCTGTGTGTGTTTGTGTGTGTGTGTGTGTATTCCTTCCTTATATGTTTACAGAAGTGATTAACAGTAAACTACTTCTACATTGGTTTTACTGTGGCAACATGAGAGAGTATACTGATAATGCTATTATTTTTTAAAAGACCTTAAGCAATCTAATTACACTGGCACAATTTCTATGCTAATTTACTGCCAGTACAGGCATGAAATTGTTCTACTAGTTATCTTTGGATTTTTTTGGTAACTTTGGGAGCAGTCATCTTGGTGGTCACATCAGATGTGATCAATTTAATAGACAATACAGTGTTGTTATAGACTCGTTTTAATAAAATGTTAGTAGATTGGCCTAGATATTTATTGAATATTATATGCACTGCAAGGTCAGCAATATCTCGTATTGTTTGCTGTTTTCAATGCCTCCAGTAATTATGCTGTGCATTTGGTGTTATTTCTGTATCTTCATCTGCTGATCATTACCATTAAAATTGCATTTTGTATTGACATTTCTTCTCAGCATATTACAATTTAACATAGATATTTTTTCTGATATAGGCTCACCAAATTGATAGAAAATATTGTTGTTACTTAGCTTTAAACAGTACTTGCATGGTAACTTCCTCAATAATGTCTCCTGCTTTTTCTGAGATGCATCTTTATTTTTGTTCTGCCAGATTAAATTACAATAAGAATCTTTTGAGTAAGAAGAAGATTTTTTTAATCAGAGTAGTTTCTTTCTTTTTCAGATATTTCAACATGCTAAAACTCCTATATGAGGAAAGAAATATAATATTAAAAAAACTAGTGGTAATACGTACTTGAATGGTGAAAAAAAAGCGCGCCTTTTTTAATAATTTATGCACCAATTTTCTGATACTACTCAACAGTATTAAAGATGCCTATTTTGCTTTAAATAAGAGTTCTGAATGGGACAGAATTCCAAATTTTGGGAGTATATATTTTTAAGTACTACTCTGCCTTTAATACATGAAGGTATCCCACAAAGGAAGAATAATTCTTTCTCTTTTCATTGGTTTATTGGAGACAAGCCTGAGAAGCAAACATTTCAAACCTACTCTACTTAGGTGGGCTTTGTATGGTGCTGAGGAAATCAATTTCCATTCTGAGACAATGTGTTTGAGTTTTATGGGGGGGCACATGAATGATGACTTGAGAATACAGCTAAAGGAAAAATCTTCTGCTCAAGGTGAAAATAGTAAAAACAATCCTTCACATTATGTTAAAAGGCCTTCAAGAAGGAAACAATTTAATTTTAAAAGAGAAAATATAATAAGTAAAATAAGTAATAGAGACTGAGTCACACGGCAATTTGTTTATTGTGTTCTACATTCTGGAGATGTGAAGAGGAACTGTTAGCTTATTTCAGTTTCTTCTTTCTTTTATTTTTTTTTTTTTCCAGTGATTAGGGAGAAAGTCCTTCAGTAAGACATCAGTTATTCTCATAATTTTGATGCATCACAACTAAGTGGAAATGAAAATTTTTCTTAGCTGCTTGGGACATTCAGTTGCATAAAGTCACTTTTAACTACCTGGGATGATCAGCTCCAAAGAGTTAATCTTCTTTTGATTAACTGTATAGCTAGAAAATTGTCCAATTCAGTACTGAGAGCTAATTAATGCAATCATGAAGGATGCAATAAATACAGGGGGAAAAAAATGGTATTTCAGTATTTCTTCTATTTCCATGGCATGGGGAGTCTGCTCTACTCCAAAAATAGTGAGACACCATCTCTCCCCGTGAGCCATGAACTTTGGCAAAAATTATGGCACAATTATTTTCTGACTCTAATTTATAATGTTAGACAGCATGGTAATTTACTTTGATCAGTCAGGTGGTTAAAGGTCTGTGGCTCTATTGTGTAAAAAGATTCTGGTGTTTTCTATGAGTATGGGGCAGACAATAAATGCATTGTTTTGGACATCATACAAGTGCTGCAGTGTCTGAACATAAAATATTCTGAACTTTGATCCAGTTTGGAATGTCAGCCTTTTGGACTGGTGAGATTTAAAGCTTGTTTGTTTTTTTATTTTAGTGAACACTTGAGAGATCAAAGCAGGCTTGTGGCTGTTACATTGAACATTTACAAAAGCAGCAGGACTCAACAAACAAGGTGGTGGGAACTCTTTGGGGCAGGCTTCCAGGCCACTAGCTGTAGTGCAGTGTCTGTCCTTCCATCTGCGAGACTCCAATAAAAATTCAAGTCATCTTGACAAAGGTGTACTACCAATCTTGTATCTAAATTATTTTCTGCTTTGTGACCGTGTTTCCATCACAAATGCCGCTGCTACACTTAGCTTTGTCTTTTTTAATCCAATAAATTTCAAGAATTGGTGGAAGTAGAAAGTGCTCCACTAGAGTACTGAAATACAAAAAAGTCATTGTTATACCCTTGACCTGAATTCTTTGTACAATTCTAGTCATCTAGATGAAGTCTAGACGGCAGCTGCTGGAGTAATCAGAAAAGTAGGGAGTTCATTTTACCAGACTGCTGAAAAATTCTGTCTTTTTCCATCTAGCTCATAGATCATATAATTGCTTGCTAGAAATTTATCAAAAGAAGAACAGTGCTGGTCAAATGCCACAGAGAAATCATCCCAGTCAAAGAGCAAATGCACACGAATCAAAGACCAAGGACAATGGAAACAAATACGCAAACATTAGAAGAGTAGGGCTGTGGTAGTCATAAGAATTAGATTTTGAAATAGGCTTTCTTTTAAGTCTGTTTTGGCTATGTCCTCTAACCAATTTGATAAGAGAGCACTTCTGAAAGGCTGTACTATACACATTGCCTCAGAGAACAAGGAGTTAGACATGATGACAATGAAAGTTGTTTTCCTTGTTTTATTTGTAAAATAGTATCTTAAGCACCTTGTACCATGCCTGAGTATTATTTACAGGTGTCTGCTCTGATTCTCTTTCAGCTCAAATATACAGCATGCCTTATATACAGAAAAATCCTAGATGTTGTCAGTGTGGTTGGATTATATTGCTTTGGGGCTTATCTTGCTCGAAAAGCTTGTAATTCAGGCTGGTATGTTCAGAATGGTTTAGGATTTGGGTGTCTAAATCACACTAATGTCAGACATAAATAATCATCAGGAGTTAGATATATTGGTTTGAAGTCTGCACTCCTTAGCTGTGAATAGATTTGTGACTTAACAGTGCAGTTTGGGATTTTGGAAAATGGCTGTCCGATCTTAGTTCTGTATTTCAGTTATATTTCTATGTAAAATTAGAATTGCCCATTAATTAACACAAATAAATGACGTATGACCACACTGATCTTACTGCTTTTCCTGTAAACTAAGGGACTTGTTCATGAATTTGTCACATTTTGGCAAGAGGGAACCAGTTTTCTTCTGAAGTTGTTCCAGCTAATTGGTATGAAAGGGTCAGGATTTAATGCATTAGTGCTTTGCAATTGTCATTACCTTACATGCTGCTTTTCTTTTCCATTTCATGACCCAAAAATCTTGTTTCATTTGAAGAGGGTCGAATTTAATATGGTATTTCTGGTATAAAGCGTATAAAACATAAAAGTATGTATTTACCAGAATTAGGTTCTTACAAAAGTAATCTCTTTGACTTGAATAAGATTATGTAATTGAATGACTGCTATTTATAATCAGTAACATGGATCACTTTAATTCTATTTTCCAGGGAAATATGCTGTTATCATGGAAAGTTGCTATGATTGTATAAACAAAATTATTGACAGCTTCTTGTTTATATTTACTGTTTTTCATATTTATACAGAGAAAAAGCAAGCTAAAGAACAATCTGACAACTAGAGTGAAAGGTGTCTGCTGACATAAGAGATTAATATTTTTTCAAGGAGGTATGTCTTCTAGTTTCAATTAGCTTTAATTTCAGCATCAGTTCTCTAAAGTGCTTTATTTTCTAATGTCAAAAGGGGTTAATGAACAGTATTTTCACTTAAGTTAATTGCTCTTTCATACAGTTTCTTGAACACTTCAATATAAAAGAATTCAGGATGAGTCCCTGCACTTAGCAGGTAAAAGGGCAGAGATCCTGGTCATTATTTTAATTCTGGTAAATTAATTTATCTTGAAGTATTTCTGTCTGTGCAGCCTTTAGGCTGAAGTTAATTGTAAGAGTTTCTAATTGATCTTCCTGTGAAGACTAAAAATTACTTTTCTCTCTCTGTTTCCTAAAGGGAAGAGTGTGTTTGCCCATGGGCTATTCTCTGTGCCCATGTGTAAGATGTTTTTCTACAGCTTTTTCACTTGGTGAATGTTCTACCTCCTCCACGTGTGCTCGGTGGTAGGATGGATCCTGCTGGTTTGGCAGAGAGCAGCTCCAGCTGCCCTTTTCTCCGTGCTTCTTACCAAGGCCAGTGTGGACTCCTTGGCAAGTCCTGCCTCTTTGCAAACCTTTGTGACTCCCACCATTTAATCAGCACAGGTTTTCTTATTTAGTTTTGCTTCATGGATAACCATAACACATAGTTTTGGAATTGGTGTTAATCCATATGTAGTGTGGTTAGCAGTGTAGGAGTGACATATAGCCACAATTGATGAATATTTCTGATTAAGGTTGTTTTTAATCAGGTAACATGCTTTTAATGTATTCTGAACAGCTGCTTTGGATTCAGTGCTGCATGATACTTATTAGCCAGGTAGCTATCAGAATTTACATAACTCATAATAGGGTGTTTGTTAAATAGACCTTTTTTTTTTTTCTTTTCTTGTAGTCTTTTGCAGATACTCAGATCTTCAGGGACTTTGCTGCACTTGTGCTAATATTCCTTAGATTTTTGTACTCTAAATCAACCAGTAAAGAATGTGATCATCTTTGTGATTTTACTTATAAGTAAAACCAATCATAGTTTTGAACCAAGAAGCTTTCTCCTCAGGAAGCAGCACTGAAGGTAAAGGTCTATAAAACCTCATCTCCATTATTTTTCCCATGTAAATAAGATATAATTCTGGATGAACTCTTTTTTTAAAGCACTGAGAATCCTGTTATGCCTATGTGGTATAAGCCAAAATACAGTAATATTATTGCAATTGAGGCAGTGATACAGAATCTGAAAGTGGCAAAGATGAAAAGCCCATCAAGCTGCATAACTTTTCTGTCATTCCCTGGAAACATCTGTATATATTTCTGCCTGTGTGGCTATATTTCTTTATGTGTGATTGTGTATATATATAAATAATTGTCTGGATATTTGTATGTGAGCAAGTGTACTAAATGTCTTACAATTTGTTTTTCTTTTTTTCCCCCTTTTACTTACCCAGGATACATTCAGATTATTTTATCTATTTTCTCTCCTCAGTTTCCTGTTTGATTATGCCACAAATCTTCCAAAGATCTAATTATTGCTCTTTAATAACTGCTTGCAGAACGGCAAGCTTCACTGAGAATGTGTAAGTATCTTCAAATAATCCAAAAGAAAGAAGAAATCAGAGTAACTTTAGAATAGCTCTACATATGTGTAGAAGTGGTTGCAAAAATGTTTCTCAGGTAAGTAAGAATTCTTTTGCTGTTGTTAATTCTAGGTATTCTCTCTGCATAAATTTGAGCTATATCAATTAAACCCACATTCATATACTGTTCACTTTAGTCAGAACTCTGGGTTTAAGTTGCTTTACAGAGAACAAATGGCACCTAATCCAGATGATAATCCAGGAGAAAAAAAGCTACAAAATCTAAAATCTTCTGGGAAATTATTAGGTCATAAATTGTTTGCACTAGCTCATTACATTGGGAATAATTTCTTCTTACAATCAATATTTTTTTTGCTAGATGAAATAAGCTAGGAAACAGAAATGGCATTAGAATTTATTTGACTTCTAAAATATAATAGATTACTAACAAGATCAAGTTTGGTAAATGGATTATGTTATTCACGTGACAACAGGCAATGTGCATTTGGGTATAAGCCAAATTGCTGGATACTGGAAATATAACACATTCACCTTTCTCCTCAAGTGAAGAATTGACTAGAAGTTTTATACAGCCTTGGTAATTTTTCCATTAACGTTGTATAAATACAATTCAAGTCTAGAAATGCTTTTTTGCTTTATCTATGTATGATTTTGCAATCAATATTATAAAAATGAAAGGCTTGTAACTTATCCTAATTGAAGGAATTAACTTCTAGACATTATTGCCTCCTAGGCTATAGTTTAAAACCTGATTTAAAAAAATCCAATAAATAATAAATAATAAAAAATTTTGTTCTGTATTTGCACTTTAAAAAATTTAAAAAACCATAATATTTTTCTAAATCCTCAAAATGTTACATTTCTATTTCTAATTCCTATAGCAATTTCTTATAGAAACAAAAGTTTTTATAGAAACAAAAGTCCTGAGTTTTCATTTATCATAATAAAAGTTTATCATGAAAATGTTATATGTAAACTTGGAAAAGTCTTTAGAGGACTTGTACAGGACTGAGGCTTTTTTCCTATTTAGATAAGGTTACAAAATGACTGCAGAGATAAAGAATTTTTAATATTATAAGTGCTTAATATTGGAGTTCATAAAGTTGCTTGAGTCAAAACACTATAGTTGAAAGGCTATAGTCTGAGAAACTAATACAAAGAGTCATCTAAGGCAGAAGGAAATTAACTAGTAACATCAAAAGGGCTCAAAAAAAGAGACATTGACAAGGGACCAGTAAAAGAGCATAGGATAGCCATGGTTTATTATTAATGAATGCTGCAGGCAATATAAATTTTGCAACATATTTAGGCAGTTGCACATGGAAAAAGATGCCTTCCATATTTGTGTAGCTCCAGAAAGAATCTGATCTCTTGCTAGAATATTAGAATAATGCATTCGTTGCCATGAGACATTAGTAGAACTACAATCTTACTGAGGGAGAAGAGGCAAAGGTGTTGTAGTTAAGCACAATTATTATTTCTGGATAGATTGGAAATAATTCCTTGTGGTTCAAGACAGTAAGGTAAATATTTTTAAAGACATATTCTCTTAAGAAGTTATTGTGTGCTTATCAAGTATTATTAAATCTTGTGCTTCTTTTGCTACACTCAGTACTGACCAGTGTTGAAGACAGAACACCAAATTAGAAAGTCAATGTGGCTAATCTGTTCTTAATGTGCCCATTACACAACTATCTTCTGCAAACACATTAATGTGTTTACACAGAAGCCAGTCTTGATTATAATCTAGAACACAGAAGGAGAAAAGAGAAAAAAAAGGAAATATTTTCTTCATATTATTGTAGAAACTGTATTTAGCTATTTATTAGTTTTATAGGTTGCTCCTTCAAAGAGAAGCGTAGAACAAATTAGAAAAAATTGCTTTAGTATTTTAGGTGATTTACTGATCCTGGTAAGGTTCATTAAATACTAGAAAAAAATTATCCTGATTCATTAGATTAAATTTCTGTAAATGTAATTAAATCCTGTCCTAGATTTGTTCATGTATCAGTAAACTAATTCCATTTAGTCAAACATTTGCTTTGAGTCTGAACAGAATTAATTTCCCTAGCTGTGAACTATAGGAAAGCAGCATATAGTCAATTGTTCAGGCATTGAGATTATTGATTTAAAAGGCAGAGTTACAGCAGAAATGTTGATATATTCAGTAAAAGGAGTGATTAGAATAATTACATTTAATTTGAGGAACAATTAATTTTTTATTATATAAAACAAAGTAGAAGAGTAAAAGAATTTTTAGTTCTTTCTGCCTCTTGGGGTTTTATTATAAAAAACTTGAATTTTTTCCTCAAATTCCACAGTACAGTTGATGGGGTGAGACTAAGATGTATCAGAGTTTGACAGAACAAACACATCCTTTTTTGCTACTGTGTGAGTGGAAACATTTCAATGGAAGGCATCTGAGAGGACTGGGACAAGCACTATTGTCTACCCAGCAGAAAGGTTTCAAATACTTGTCATAAGACTGTTCAAGGGCCTTGACTCAGAAAGGGTTTGTGAATGGAGAAGAACAAATAAAAAATATTTGAAACAGATTTTGAGCACAATCCTGATCAATTTTCAATAGAGATTTACGTCTAGAACAGGAACGAGCCAAGTTATATCTAGAGTCTCCTTCCTGTTCTACTTCTGCTCTAAGCCAGGAAGAGGACCCATGAGAAAGCCCAGTGCAGAGCTGAGCTTGCCCTGTAGTTGCTTCCCAGGGACAGGAGCTCAGCACTGCCAGGGAGTTGGGTCCCAGCTCCTCACTCACAATATTCAGTGGAGTTTCTGTCTGGGACTGAGTGAGCTTGATAAAGGTCAAAGAATGCAGAGTACAGAAACATGAAAGAGGCTCTTGTCTGATTTCATGATTAAGACATTCATTAAGAGATGAGGATTCTAGGGTCATTTTAATTATTGATGTAATGCCATAAAAAAGACTGAGAACATCATCTTCCTCTGAGTACCTTGCATTTGTGGAAGCCTGAACTCAGATACTTCCCCTCTGCACAGACTAACTCTTGAGGTCCTGTGACAGCTATTCCTGTTCTCCTTTCAGTAACATGAATCTCAGCCCTCTATTCCTTTGTTTTGCCTACAAGTGAGTTAGAAACTAAAAAAATCAGGGAAAGATTCTGAAATTATCCTGATATGATCTTAGATGATTTTTTTTTAACTACTGCAAAAAGAGCATTTTTTCATACAACCATAATTTAGTTCAGTGCAAAGAATATCTGGCTAAGTTTCTGTACTAGAGGAACACTTATTCTCCCTGAGTCTCTGATCTGAGTCTTTTAAGATTTAATCATAATTTCCTATTTGAATAAAAGGGATACACCCATGAATGTTAGACCTGAATAGAGGATTCATTTTCAAAATGCAAGTCCCACATCCTTACTCAATTTATCTTTAAACTACTTCATTACTGGTATCTTCAGGCTGGCTCCTTCACGCTTCTTGTGCTTGTATGTATGTGGGAGTTTAACATTCACAGCACCCATTCAACTAAATATAATGACATAAATACTACCAACATCACCACTACTGTTCAGTTCTGTGCACATTTAGTTGCACCAAATCATAGACAGAATAAAATATGGGGAGACACTTCAGTACTAAACTCTATATGTGTAAGCAAGATTAACTGCAGAGCAATGTCCAGTTTAGGACATCACATAAAACACTAAGAAGCATGTATGAAGATCTGGCTGATATGCAGAATCACTGGCAGATTAAACAGAAGTAGAAACAAAAAGAGTTTATCACAACACATTGTCTTTTGGCACTTACTAACTGGATCAAAACACGAGTACTGAAAGGCTTACTTGAAATGGTAACTTAAAGAAAATGCTGGAACAAAGTTTTACTTATGAATGCTAAAAGCTGTAACTGATTATGAAGTACAGTAAATCATAGTTGTACAATTCATACAAGGCTTAGAGTCTGTCAGTTTATTTGCATCAGTATTATATAAGTCATACTTATTTAAGCTGCATAATTTATGATACAAAAAAGTAAATAGTTGATTCACACCTGGATGAAAAAATGCATGTAAAATTGATATCCATAAAGAAAAAAATTTTTTACTTATGTGGGTCAATTCACATTGGTCACTGCTGTATTTTCTAGAGACAAAATCAATTTAATATACTACAACATAAATTTGTAAGAATAAAAGTCTTTTCTTTTACCAGAGCCAGACCATCCAGTTCAGCCTGTAAGGCTATTTAATTTATTTCAGCTACACTGCCCTGTTTTTCACTCTACAGATATTAGGACAGAACTCTTGAGAAGCTGTTTCCTTATAGTTTCCTACAGTGTTAATAGACTTAGTGTGTATCAGCTAAAAATAATTTTTTACCAATTTGGTATGGATTAAAACAGTCCATTACTGTAAAAAAAGTGGTACGAAGAAAATAAAATCCTAGAAGGAAAACCAGGATCCTATACCAATTTTAGTAATTTATATTGTGGTTTGTTTTTTTTCCTTAGCAAAGCAGAACAGTATGCCAACAATTCTTGTTCAGAAAGAAAAAAAGCTTTCAGTAAGACTTGAAAAGCCACAAGAAAGATAGAAACCAAGCCAGAAAGGACAGAAGACTGACAGAAAAAACAAAACAGAACTCTAGTAGCCTGAGAACAGAATGTGTGAATGAGGCTGTGAGGTGAAAGACATAGCTGAGGCTGTAAGTACTGCAGAGAGTCTGCTGAAGTTAACTTTGCATAAACTATACAGCAAATATAAAATGGAAAAAATATAGCTGAGAAAAGGGTCATCTTAGAATCTGTTTAGCAAATTCTGGGACTGAGTAACTAAATGAAAATAGCATTAAAGTGATGTGGGCTATAAGAAATGTCATTGCAAAAACAATTCAGCCCTCCATCTACTCTACTATTCTGTTTTTAGCAGCAACTTTATGTGCCATAATGTGTTTTAAAGAAAGCTGGAAGAAGACATGTGCTAAGCAATTATAAAATCTGCCCTGAGGAAAAAGTTTCTTTCTTCAAACCATCAGTTAGATGTTTATTTATGCCTTTAGGCATGAGTTTTAATATTCCTTCCAAATACTTTTGTTTCATAAGATTTATAATTTTTTCATAAAATGTTCATTATTATTATTATTATTATTGCTACTGACCCTCAGGAAGCCAAGGATCTGCAACAATAAATTCCACCATATAGTTGTTTATTTATATGACAGAAATATACTTTATGACTCTAAAGGGCAGCTGAAATAAGTTTGTGCTTCCAAAGACTTACTGAGGTCATCACTGACAAAACAGAAAGGTGAGAAGAATTAAAAAGGCAAATGGTATTTAGGGAAGAAATGAGATGGAGTGAAAATAGATAAAACAACAGCAGCTTCAGCAGACAGTTATCATTCAAATAGTCCTTGTGACTGCCAGAAGTAAATGTGATAGAAATTAACCAGTTGTTACTTAAAATTGTTTAAATTGCATTTATCCAAACTTTCTAAGGGTCAGCAAGACTAAGTATTCACCGAAGTTCATTTATTCATCCAAGTCATTGTAAACTGTGGTGGTATCTACAATGAAAATACCCTATAAAGAGACATTTATGAAGCTTTTTTTTTTTTTACTGCTTTGGGAAGCTATATGCAAGACAATTCAAAATGGGCACTACAGTGCCAATAGGGCACTAAGGATTAAATAAAGCCTCACAAATTTTCATTTTTAAAGAAACCCCACCATATGCAAGTATTTGTGTTTCCCTTTCAATATATGAACTCTTTGGAGGTACTTGATTTTTTGTAATAGACAGGAAATGCTCATATTTTCTACTTGTAAAATGAACAATATGATTAATAGATAACATGTGTGTGTAAAGAACAGAAACCTTCGGGTAAGTATCAAGTCTCACAGGAGTTCTGGAGAAAAAAGTAAGACCAAGTAATTCTATGGTGATCCACACCAATCTAATATATTTTGAAATACATACTGGTTGCAGAAATTCCTCCTAGCCAAAATCTTCTGCATTTTTAAAAAGCAAAGTGAGAGAAAGAACAGGTCAGAAGAGGATGGATGTTAAAGACAGGTTGGAGGAAACAATAATACAATGACAAATAAAGGTCTTAGCTGGGGTGTTTACCCACAGAACTACAGTGGATGTAATGAAAAGCTATCTTGCTTCTGGTGATGCTTAGGGAGCAATTAGATGAAGATAATCTTCTTGAGTTCCTGATGCCAAAGAGCTCTGCTGCTGATGTCAGTCTTTTAAATAGCCTGTGTGGCCTCCAAGCTTGTGACCTAAGAAGAAAAATCTTTTTTCCTTCTGTCCACTCCCTGGCTCCTCAAAGAAGTCCTTCCTTTATTCTCAAAACCCCATTCAAGATATAAATAGCTATCACAGGAGACACTCAGAGGAAGAAGGGCTAAGAAAAAGTTAAAGTACTGAGTTACTCTCCCTCTCAGTTCCCACTTTATCCAGTATTTCAGAATCAGAGATACTTCCAATTCTCTTTGCCATTCTATTTTTTTTCCCTATGCCAAAATCAGGACTGCAGACTGGCTGGTAAGATCTTGTAGTTTAGGCTGTTGTGATAGGTGAAAGACTTGCATATAAACTGATCCTTATTCCGTTTTTACTTACCCTGGTAACAAATAGCACTGAAATGTGTGTAATATGGGTTCCTTTGTGCCTGTTTTTTTAATTTTTTATTTTTCACTCTAGTGACTTGATCAGACATTTTCTGCTGATTACATGACAGCTGGGAGAATTTGCCATTTTCTTTGTTTGTATAAAATTACAAAGAACTTCAACAAGTAGGTAACATTTTATTCCTTTAATTGTAGCACTCATTTAACTCTAGTTATATTAACAGTTTCAATTATAATAGATGTAAATATGATCTAAGCCTTGTAATGGGTAGACTTTTTTTGTTTTACCTCACATTTTATACATCATTGGGTTTCACTCTGGATTTGCCAGAAAAGGTTTAACTATGGAAGCAGTGAAAGTGAATAAGACAGACTATATTCTAAGTCTGATAGATGTCCAATCATGAGCTATTGACTTCTGACTTCAACATGCATTGAAGCAAGTTCATTTCTAATCTTGAGACCTCTTTGGCACCTGCATGTAATTATACCTCCAAGACCTTCTTGCAGTCAACTCTGTTCTCATAAACATAGGGAGAATACCTTATTGCAATACAGAACTATATAGGGGGAGGTCAGGACATTTTCTTACCACATATGCCAGCTTTTATCATCTTGCAATATGCATTTCTCTTATTGTTCGTCTGCAACTGACATACGTAGGTTTTCACACATATCTGGATTTCTCGATGCACCAGAATATATTTTTTTCCCCAGGTAGGTTTCCTGCATTTTTATTTTGAATAAAACTGAGTAAAATTTCAGTCCAGCTTGCCCTGAAATGTCAGAGAAAGTTAGATAAATTGGGGAGCTTTGAAACACATTTGTGCTGCCCATATATTGCAGCCTTCCAGCTCAGGTGTGGGAGCTGACCTCTTGCTGACTGGCTGTAACTCATCTGGCCAATGTAATAATGCTGTGGTTTAGGGTTGAAGAGGTGTTGAATACTGTAAAGCAATCAGGTGTACTTGCAATGAAATTTCTTATAAGCTTTTAAAAAGAATGCAGAATTTTTTTCTTGGACAATGTGTGCACACAAGACAGAATGGATGACAAGAATATTTTTGAGGTAATACATGGATTTACAGAACTACAAAAGTAAATGTGATCTCATTTTCCAGAGTGGATGAATGGCATTTAGACTGAGAAAATGTGCAGGGCTTGCTGATGTCTGTGCAGTGGGCAGTGTCACTCAAGTGGTAACTCAATGTAACCTTTCTTTGGCAAAATTAGCCAAAGTAGCAGGATGCTTCGGTGTGTAGTCGCTTTCACATGTAAGAGCACCTTCTAGTATTTTGCCCTTCTAGTCTCCTTGGGCATTGTTGCCTCTGTGGTGGACATGTGGCCCTTCTTAACAGAAGTGATGCCATCAATTGAAGTGCTTGTATCAGCTCTCTGAGAAAAGCAAATTACTCTCATCCCACCCACGTGTGGGTTTCACCACTTGCATAATTACCAAGCTTTTTTCCTGTACTTTTCCTAAGGAGAGAAATAACCGTGCATCATAATTTTTTGCCTGCTCACATTCTCTATTGAAGTTGGAGAACTTACACATTAACCCTTGATTGAAACCCTCTGTGTCAGAACAATCAGTGATTTTGTCTCCAAACCAGCAACTTGTTAATATTGTAAATATGAATGCTCTTAGGGATTAATAAGCTTAACAAGAAGGGTGTTTTTGAACTTCATTAAAATAAGTTTTAGTCAATTTTCAACAAATACCAGAGATTTTTAAGTAGTCATAAATATGGCACATAGGGCCATAAAACATGACCATCTCTAGCAGCAGAACTCAGCCTTCCTTGAAATACTGATTTGGAGACTGTGAGAGAGATGTTGTGATTGCAGTAAAAATTGAATTCTGCTTGGGTTTAAGACTGTGTCAATAGTAATATAATCCACAATGTCTGTAAAGTGCTGTTTATTATGCTACCATCAGCTGCCACTTTGCAGACTACCATTAGAGAGTGATATTTACTATAAGAAAATATTCTCAGGAAGCAGAGTAAGCTGCAAAATAAAATCAATGATAGCTCAATTTCTTTAGATGAGTCCAGTTTTGAGATACAATTGTATCTGTTTTCACTGGAATTAGCTGTGGACAGGGAGCATTCACTGTATATGGCTCTGCCTTGGGATATTGTACAATAAAATATAGTTGGGCTGGAATGCATGAGAACATTGGTACAGTGCTTAAACAGATAATAACATTTGCAGATCTTTGGGAATATGTTTAGGTGCTGTATTTGTTTCTTCTATGTAGTAATTTTTGACCACTAGATGGGACTGTGCAACCTCATGCAATTGTATTAACAACAATATTTGAGAGGTTTTTTACTTGCAATTAATACTTTTCTTTCTCCTGCTGAAAGAGGGCTTTGTCCCCAACCTTTGAAAATAATAAAACCAGCAGAACCTCTTGTAAACAAGGATCTCTGTAATTCTAGTGAGAGCAAAAAGATAACAAACATTAAAGTCCATCCAAAGATCTATAAAGAATCCAGCATACATTAAAACACAGTTTTAAAATTGCAACAAATCATCTTATCATCTTGAATCTGCACTACTACTACTACTACATATTTAATCTTCATCATATTTCTCCTTGGTATTCAGTTATCTTGGCTCTTAACAGCTAAGCCTGACTCTCTAAACTATGCCTTATACACATTTCTTTCTAATCTTAGGCTCAGCCAGGGTTCTGGGATATGTTATTCAGATTAAGACACTGTAAGGAGTAAAATAAATGAAAACCAGTTATCCTTTCCCAGCTAATTCATTGAATTCTTTTTTTTCCCAGTGATTAGATTCACAGTGATCTGGAGGCTGTGGCAGTAAAGCACTTTCTACTTTGATGAACTCAGCAGGTTTTATTTCATTTTGAAACAACGTATGGCAGATGGAAAACTGATTTTGGTTGTCTATTAAGATTTTAATGCTTTTTTTCCTTCCAAAATATTTTTTGGTTTGAGTTTTTTTTTCTTTTTTTTTTTCCTCCTTTTTTTTTTTTTTTTTGCTTGTTCTCACTCTAGAATAATAATTGCCCCTTGGTTCTTTTCATTTGATGTCTAAAGAGGTTGACTTTCATCAGCATAGAATAACACACTTGAATCCCAAGGTTATTTTAATCTGGAATGTTCAGGAAAGGTCTTTACCATGTGATAGGGATTGTTGCTGAATTTATTTTTGTTTCTTGTTGGAAATGTAGCTTTCAAACTCTGTGACTGTGTTTTAAAAACATAAATAAAAGGAAACAAAGTGAAACTTTATTTTTTGTTTGTGTGTCTGGAATATTTGATAAGAGTGTCTGAAGCACTTAGAGATTTAGGGCTAACTCTAGCGATTTTACTCATCCAGTCCTTTTTGTGGCATATACTGTCTAATATACTCATATGTCCACAATGCATATCTAGCTTATCTTTCAGTATTTAAGCTCCGGCACTAAAAGCCATCTAATTTTTGGTTTATTGTTTCCCACAATTTGTACTTTGAGAATTTGTACTTTGAAATAACAAGCCAAAGGTTAAAAACATTATTATTCCATTTTACCTAGACAGCACAGAATAGTGACAATACCATTAATATACTGAAGTAAATTCCAGCTGACATGCATATACATTGTAGAACAGTGGCTCCTCACGAAAATGACATTTTGGTAGATGAGCCCACCATGGTTGCTGAGATACTCTCAACAAGATGAATTCCCATGTTCCAGTAAATGTCCTTTCCCTCTAGGGTCCAGACATGTCTCAGAAATGCCTTATAGTTATTAACGCAGAGAGCCAGAAACAGAGGAGGCAGATTGAGCAAGTTGTATTTTACCATTGCCAGGAAGACAATCATAATTAATGAGACAATGTAATTAATATGGTTTCTTTTTCTTACTGCTGTGTAAATGGTGTGTGCATGACTGTATGCCATAGATATCTGGATAAAAACGCGTATTCTGTTTATTTAATGACAAACTAAGTGTGGTTGCAATATATTAATTTATATTTGAAACTAATTTTTTTAACCTTGGCTGATACTCTGGTTTCATTGTGGATGAGGAAATCTGACTAGCAGTGTTCTTTGGCATCTTCAAAGATCTACAGGAAGGTCTGACTCAGCAGAGCTTAAGAGTCATGTGAATGCAGAAAAAAATATGGGTTGTTCTGTGTGCATTGCAGAAAGAGAGTATGGATGGTACATTCACATGGGTGTGTATATAAATATATATGTTTGTGTTTGTGGGCATGCTTTCATAGGTGCATATTGAAAGCTACTTCTCCTGTCACTGCCCCAGGTGTATTTAGAAAAGTTCCTGGTGTGTCAAAGACACCTTGAAAAACTGACAGAACTCTTCCAGCAGTGGTACCCTTTTGTTGGTCAGCTCTGCACATCCTGCTTCATAATTGGCTTTGAAGGCTTGCTTTCCAGCCATACCCCACAAATTGGTATGCACCAGTGGAGAAGAAAGAATATAAAACAGCTGCTATTTCCTAAGCAGAGATGCCTGGAATTGGAACACGTGCTTACCTGTTTTCCATTTTCTTATCACTGACTGACAGTGGGAGGAAGGAGGTCCTTTGTGTGTGAAAAGGGATGACTACAGGGTGAGATTTTTTTCACATCTGAATGTGGACAGAATCAGGTCTACCTGAACTCCTAAGATGCAGGAAGCCAGACCTGGCTTGATAAGTGTCAAGAATATTCTTCAGTCTTTCCCTGAGCTCATGAAGCAGGTATGAGGAAAAAAAAAAAAAACAAACAAACTTTTCCCCCACTTTAAAACACCCTTTTTAGAAAATTTTTACAGTTCTTTTCTTCAAACAATAGCTTAAAGTTTTACAGTTTCCTCCACAGAGAGAGATTATGACTGCTGCTCCTGTTGTTTAACTAAAGTAGAATGCAAGCACTGCTGCTGATTTGGAAATTGGAGACCTATTTTTCCTTATCCTTCATGTTCGCAGATGCCTGGCTGTTTTATTTAGCCTCGTTGCTAGAGAGAAAATTCTGTCTTTAGACAGATGCACTTTTGCATTAGAAATCTTGATTTTCAGAAAATACATGATTACTGGAGCTTCTTAGAAATCACATATTTTTATGAGTAAAGCTGAAACATAATCTGTTTCCATTTGTGCATACAAGCTTGAGGTTGCATGAGATTCTATGCAATTTTTGAGGTTATATGACGCTCATGACTTTGTTGACTAAGATGAAAGCTGTATTTTGAGTACCCCCCCCCTCCTCCCACCCCAAATATTCATGTGGAGGTTATTTCACAGGGTGAAGTTAGTTGTTACCCCTACTCATCAAGTTTATGCAGTGTTTAGAGGTCTAGCAGGGACATTTGAGTACCATTACCTGCAATATCCTTGTGGCATTCTGTTGGGAACTCCCCGTGTGTGGAGACACGAGGCTTGACTCCTTGTTTCTCAGAAGGCTGATTTATTATCTTATGATATATATTATATTAAAGTACTACATTAAAACTATACTAAAAGAACACAGAGAAAGATCATCAGAAGGCTACAAAGAACAAGAATAGAATAGAATGCATAACAAAATCTTGTGATTGCTCACAGCCTCGGCACAAGTGGCTGTGACTGGTCATCAAGTGAAAACAATCCACATGGACTAACGGAAGATGCACCTGTTGCATTCCACAGCAGCAGATAGTTATTGTTTATATTTCTCTCCTGAGGCCCTTGGCCCCTCAGGAGGGGAAAAATCCTAGCGATTTATGATATTTCATAAAATATCATAGCTGCAGCATCCAGCTTGTCTCCACTGAGGGTGTGAGCAGGTGCTTTAGCCCCATCAGTAACATGGGGTATGGATGACAGCTGCCTCCAAACACCTGTAATACAGTCTGAGGGGCCAACAGCTGTAATAGTTTCTTTAAGGAAGGGAAGTAGCTTATTCATTTTATCTTAAACAGAGCAAGCTAATGAAAAGTGCTTGATAGCAGTAGTTTAGATGACAGTAACTGGGTTAACAAGTTTGGTTCACATTTGTAGTGATTTACACTTTCAAACCTTACCTGATTGTAAGATTTAAATAAGTATCTAGAGATGTGAATGTGAAGTTGGACAAAGGAAGGAAGAACTTTGAAATGTGTTTGTATTGTAAGTGGATTAACCATGGATTTAATAGATTTTTAGAGTTTCAGAAGCTATAACACTATGAACCCTATCTATGGTGTGGGTTTTATAGAAAAATACTTATCTGACTTGAGTTACAGGCTAAGTGAAGCAAACATCAATATGTTGTATTCTGTGGGGTGTTTAATCATTATAAATTGGGTACCACTCAGAGAGACCAAAACACTAACACATTTCTTCAAAAGGGTAAAAGGGTACATCTTCCCATTAGCTGCCTGAGCTTGTTTGGAAGTTTGCAGTGAAAGGAAAAAAAAATGGTACTTGATAGCCTGTGTCAGCCAGGAACAACTTGTGGACTTGCAGGTCCTGCAGGGTTTTATAAAGTGTTATGTTTTGTAATAGTATCAGGGCTAAAAATATAAGACTCTTAAGAATGTATCAATATGTGTGGTCTCACTGGAGACTAAGAAAACCAAAATGGTTGAGGAAATGTTTGAGGATATCCCAGTGGACATAGAACTTCTAAATTGTGTGTAGCACAGAATCTGTAAAAAGTAAAATTGAGGTATGATTCATGCCCCTAAAACAGTTCTTTTAATCTTTATGCAGAGAAAAAAAATCCCTGAACAAGCAAACAAGAAAAAAAAACAAAACCCAAGCAAACCAAAATAATCCAACTCCAAAATGTGGATAGCTCTGAAAATAATCAATAGCAGAACTATCAGACAAGATGCATTCTTTGTGCCTGTAAGAAAAACAGATTAAAAAAAATTAAAATATATATACAAGAATTATATAAGTGCCAACAAGAGTAGAAGACTGATACTGATATAGGGAAGATAATGTTTGTTTGTTTTGGTGTGGGGGTGTTTTTTTGGGGGAGGGGGGAGAATTGGTTTGGGGTTTTTTGTGTGGTGGTGTTGTGGTTGTTTTGTTATTATTGTGATACCCTCAGGTTTGCAGCAGATTCCTTTAGGAATAAAAAAACCGAGTACATGCTCTCATTCATGTAGTCATTCAGTGTGCATTTTAGGAGACACTGTTCTCTCAGGCTACCACTGGTCATCCTAAGGCTTAGCCAAGAAAATGCTACAATGTGCAGATATCTGAATGTGATGAAAGAATGGTAGAAAAGCATGACTCCAGACTCGGTGCAGCTGTGGAAGATGTGGACCTGATACATTAAAGCATACTAAGAAAAATGTTAAGTTGAGGTGAAGATAGCACACTTGGAAAATCTCGTAGAGAAAAGTGAGCAAACAGGCAGTATTTAACAGACCGGTCTGTAGTTACAGATGTCTGCAAGGAACTTGGTTGGTACAGTCCTTTTCTCATATGGAAACCCTGGAGATGTGTGTCCTATGCATCGCCATCACTAATGAAAATTAAACAAAAAAATGTCTTTGGCCTTAGACTCTGAGAACAAAAAATAGTTTGATTTTTTTTTTTTCTATTTAGAGAAGGTGACACTTAGATGAAACTCACTCTAAGGCACTTACTGCATTGCCAAAAAATGCCTGGCAAACAGGATCTAGTGAAGAGAAGCATAATTTTCAGCAGCAAATGCATGTTTTTCCAGAAAACAAGATTTGAGGAAAAGTTGGGTGTTTTGAGATACAGATTCTGAGGCTGCTTGACAAAGGTGGGTGGGTAGTACCCCAGAGGTTCTATTGGTTCTATATCTGCCCATTCCATACAAAGCAGGCAAACAGACCTGCTCTGGAACGGCAAAATGAGGAGTCATTCTAGTACCATGATGTCTCATAGGTGGTAAAACAAGACTCTTATCCTGAGACAATTAAGTTTTTACTCAAGAGGATTCTCTTGAAAGATACCTGAAGAGCTGCAGAAGAATATATTAACAGGGGAGAAACAAGGTGATGCAGAGCTGAAAAACATCCTAAAAAATTTATTTTATACACCAAGAACACTGATATGAAGGAATTCATGAGGGTGGGTTTTTTTTTCCCATGCATCAAGAATAGTGGATAGTTAAAGTAGTTTAAGAAGAACAGTTATTGTAAACAGCTCCAGGAGAGTGGCTGCTGAAGTAATGGATGCACAGAGGCATTTGCACTTAGGAAAAAATTATTAGACATCCATCTCCACCTTCCATTCATTTTGG